TATTATGTTCCACAAGGAAAACAAGTGTTAGATACCCTGCTGCATTGTTTGTGGTAAGCAATCAATATTTTACTGTCTAACCATATTTAACTTTACGTGTATATCTAAATCCCTTTCTACTAGGAATTCTAATATAATACTCTAAGCATAACTCATGGACATATTCAGGTGAATTAAAGATTCCCTGAAATACACCACATGAAGGAAGTTGTATTTCATCAGCATCTGTTTCTCTTATTCATTGCCTAATCCTCCAACCCCCAATTCTCTCTACAGTTCTTTATTAATTTAAACAAAATATGTTCAATTGGACTTTTCTTAGTAAAGCATAAATCTGTACACTTACCCTATCACAGACCATTAATAAAGACCAAAGATTTTTATATAGTACATACTTACATCAAAATATATTTCTAAAATGTTACATAACTAATTAAGAAATGTCCTTGCTTGTACTAGACTCCTTTGAAAGGTTTGCCTATAGATTCAAACAGCTCTAATATTGATCTGTTTCCTAGCTTCTGAAGATGGATGGGTCAGGACTGTAGTGTTTGGGTTTGCAATAGTTAACCTGAAAGCCTTTTAAATGTGCCTGAGAAATTGTTGAGTGGCGAATTCAAGAGCTCTTTAAACATGGGAAATGTCTTCATACCTACTGTTTGTGTTTTCTTAATTTAAAATTTGTTATCAATATCTGTATATTTCAAAATCCAATAGCAGGGCTAATACTAAAGAAAGGGTAGTGGCAAAGTAGAAAAAGATTCATGATGATATCAGGTTTATTTCTATATGTATACTAATGTTATGAGTCCTAGGAAAGGGGAAAGGAAAACTTGCCTTTTGTGTCAACTTGAAACTACTGGACTTGATTTATTTTGTTTTACAGTTTATAAAATTAAAGAGTAATGTTCATTTTACTTTACACTTAATGTTTAAATTTAATAAATGTTTTCATCTTTGTATCCATATGAGTGCCACTTCCCTTTCTCAAAATTTCAAAGTTGAGTATACTCTTAGAGCATATTTCTCAGTAAACTCTAAAATCTGCATGAATACTGGGTATTTCCAGGGGTTCCCAACAAAGTCTCAGAGAAAATCAATGAGTTGATATCCTTGACTATAACCATCCCATCTGTGTACACAACCCTGCCCGACCTCATCTGCAGAGACTCCAAAGAAGTAAAAGGCAGGGTTTTCATCTAATGGGGTTGAGTGGACTTGGTACCCTGAATGCATGCATTAATCCAGTCACATTAGTAAAAACCAACAAGTTATTTGATAGATGAATAAGATACCTCTGAGCAATATCATCATATAATATTAATGATAATATTTTGTAACCCTCACAGGGCAAAGACTGACCCATTTATCAACGGAAAGTCCTTTTGAAGATTTTCCCTAAGGGTATACAATTCTTAATCCAGTGCCTTTTTAAAGAAAATTAAATAAAGATATTTTTATTGGAGGTCTAAGAGAGAAATGTGGAAGCTATACCAGGGCAGGAAGTCACTGCTTCTCTGTTTCCATGCCTGCAAAAAATAAGTAACAGATTATGCCAAAAAGCCTTCTGAAATAATTCGACCTCAACCCTTATCTAAGCAATTTGCACAATTATCAGGTTTCATAATTTAAAAATAACTGTAATATATTACATAAAATTGAGTTCTTCTGTATACTCAACTATCTAAAATTCTTAAGAGGGAAGTATTACATCAGCACTGTTAATCTCTGGCATTGGAAATGATTTCTCAGTCCTTTATTCTTTACTTGCAGTAAATATTTATTTGTTTGTAATCACTTCAGCAATAAAGATCATGAATGAGGGAAAATGCATACCTTAAGTTGGAGCCTCTCTGCATTCTTTGCCAAAAAGCATCTAACATCTGACCACATTCTACAGACTTCTCATAAAATTCGCACCTCCCACCATAACTGTCCTTCTCTGCATAGGCTTTTTAGTATATATGTAATGGCAACTCTTAATATTCCCTCACTTTGAATAGATCCAATTAACTTTGACCCTTTTCGCTGCCCCATCTGTTTTAATCCCATCTTGCCAATAAGAGAGAATGCCTGTAAAGTCATAGTAAGTCCCAAGAAATGCTCAGGCAGGATTTTAACAAATGAGATGCAGCTTATTTTAATCATTTTCATAGGGAAATATCATAAAGGACTATCACACCACAGTCAAAACTGTTTCAGTAATGTATAATTTCAGTGCTCCATCCATATTCCCACAGATTTCTCAATATCTTTTTTGTAGAAATATCCTCAAGCTACTGAAACATACTTTTGTACATTCCAAAGACTGGGAGTTTCCAGAGTATGAAAGCCCAGTCCCTTTGCCATAGAGTGTGGAAAAGCTACATTTGTAAAACAAGAACTGATTGTCATAAAAAGGAGGAATCAGAGACAAGATATTTTGGCAATTAAACATAAAATTGCCATAATAAACTTGATAGAAGGTATGGGGGAAAAAAGAGTAAATCTCCCAAAATACTGAGAAAAATACAAAGAAATGGAAAATACCCAGAGAATCGATTGAGGTGGTCCCTGAATGAGACAAGGAGAAACTGGGGAAAGGGAAGGAGATAACAATTGGAGGCAAATTTCTAGAGCTGAAAAAAAGACAGAAGCCATGAGATTGAAGGCAACCACAAATGCCTAATGGGATGACCTTAAGAAGACCCATCCCCAGTGATAATGAGATTTCAGATCACCGAGGAGACTAAGAAGATCCAAAAATGGTCACCAAAACAGGATAGGTTACCTACAAAGGAAGGAGAATCACAAAGGCATCAGACTTCTCATCAGCAACATTAGCTGCTAGAAGATAATGGAGTAATCCTTTAAAGTTTTAAGTAGAAGTTAAACCTAAAATTCTATTCATCCAAAATAATAACAAGCAAAGGCAAAATAAATACATTTGTAGACAAAAATATTATCTCCACTAATCCTTTATAAAAAAAATAACTTGAGGCTATTAACAGAAACACAGGAAACAAAAGGACATAGAATCTCCAAAATGTTATTTCTAAAGCAAGAACTCAATGAACATACATCCCAGGAGGAGAGCTGTGCAACAGGACTAGAGAATAGTTGTTCCAAAACAGAATGGGAGGTCAGGAGGTTCAAGAAAAATATCTTCACAAAGAAAGCATAGTTCATTGAATTCATTTTAAAATAAAGAAGTAGGTAGAGCTTAGCAATTAAATTCAAACATGTGTTTATTTTCTCATGGTGGGGAGAGGAAAAGAATGTCACTCAGAAACTCCAGAAAAAATAATTGTATAAGAAAAAAAATGATTTAAATAAGAAACAACTAAAATGTGGCATGATTTTGAACAATTAACCTGGGTGAGGACATTAGGTGGAAGGAAAATATGTGTAGTGGATATTCTGGTAGTCCACCGCAACCCCATTTCCGGGATGACACACTCATTGCCCAGCTGCTGACTGTTCATATCTTTGTTCTTGGCTGGGAATTTCCCTCAGCCTCAGGGAGCTCTTACCCATGGTTTTGCTCCATGTAGGACTGAGACCTGAGTTGCAATCGCCTTGCACATCAGCTTCTTCCTCTGCCCAATCCTGCCTTCCTTGCTTCCTCTCGATCTCTCCTTCCTCAATTGCTTACAATCTTTCCTTTCTCACATATTAGTGAGTGAATCTCCCAAGCCCACTTCCCAAGCAATTCTCCACCTCAGACTCTGTTTTCAGGGAACCCGATCTAAGATGCCTGTGTAAAGTCACGAAGGTGAAAAGGGCATGGAGCATTCAGAAAGTGGCGCGCAGTTCCATGTAGCTGAGCATAGGATTCACGTGGAGAGACAGAAAGAGGAAATTAAAAGACGTATTTGGAGGCCAGTGGGTGAAGAGACCTGAATACCACCCTGTGGAATTGGCATGCAAAGCCTAAACTGTATCTGAGGCCCTGATCTCGGGACCTCAATGCCTTCATTTGTAAAATGGCTAATAAAACCCTAGGCTCTCGTGAGAAAAATGAGATCAGTGTCTATGAAAATGCTTTATGACAATATTCAAATGTAAATTATTATATTAATAGATTTCAGCCTCCAATGTTTGAGCAAGGCTGCAGGCCTGATAAAGTAGGCCAACTATGAGTCTATTTACAACAAGAACTAAGAGAACTTCATCCCATGGAAATGGGAATCAGACATTCTAGACAGTCTAATAGCAGTAGTTATTGGAGGAGGGGATGATTCTGAGTTAAGAGCTATCCCCTAGATTTGTCCACCCTACCCTCACTTTCCTCCACCCCCAGGTCCCATGAACTTCGTACAGTTTTGGGGTGGGGAAGGGAGGGAAAAAGAAAGCTACGAATGAGAACATGGAGAACCATTGCAGTAGAGCTCATTAAGACAGCTGGCACAAATAGCCATGCTTCATGGCGTGACTCAAAATTGGGAGTAAGATATTCTATCTACTTCTGCCAAGAATATGATGTGGCTCTGATACCCTGGGGACTCCAGAAAGTGCTATGCACAGTTGCCACCTAAGGAATCCCACACATCTGCAGCAGTGATAGTTGACAAAAGAGGTGGAACTCATGAAGAGGAGCTCCACCATGAGCCTCAGAGAGAGTGAAATGTCAGAGGAGTGGTGGCCTAAGCAGAAGGGAGCCAGAACAGCAGGATAAGAACATGGGGACCGTATGTGCCACTCATCAGAAACACACAGGACTTCCAACAATAAGCACAGGATCCTTTACTAGAAGCAGAGGTCTTGCAATTATAGATGAGAGGAGAACCAAAGAAGTCAGTGCTGTTACTGTAAATGTCTTATCATTTCAACCAGGATTCATGTAGCTTAGGGAAGCAAAATAATAACTACTATTATTATTTACCAGATAATAGCAATCTTTTAAAAAAATATATCTTTCATGCTTTATTTATCATTGCCTAGCCTAATCCCCTGCAAATAGGTGCTGAATAAATGTTAACTAACCAAATGAATAAAGAAATTTACGACTTCTTCATTACATCAGGTTTCTCTGAAATTAAAACATAAAAGATATTACATGAAGTCATCACAAATGGCACATCAAGTTCACCATCAAAAGACAACTAGTGAAAGAAATGGAAGTCCAAAGATTCTGGAATGTTTCAGAAGCACTCAAACTTCCATGGGTATAATCTATAAATGTATCCAAAAACTCCTCTGGAATTGATAATATTTTCCATCTGCAATATCTCCTTGGGGTGGTAAATGTCATATGCTACAACCCCTTGGGTAAATAGCATATCTTCTCCCTGCGCCTGTCTGTCTAAAACTCTAAAGAGTGTTATTTGTCATCAAGTGCATCTTTCCACGAGGCATAAACCGAGTATCCACATTTGCTAGACATTCAGAGCGTGCCCTGAGCTGCACTAAAACCTGGATCCGTTTCTCCTGCTCAGCTATAGTGAGTTACAGATGCGGCACTTCCTTCTTACTGACACTGCTGATAATAATTTTCTATTACTAAGGACATAAAACACAACAAGCATAATATTACAATCTAACCATATTCCCTTCAGAGTCAGAGGACACATCAAATTATTTTTCTCCTTGTAATTAAAATCTTTGTCCCAAGTAGAACTTCTGCCAACTAGATCTCATCTGCATCCTTCTTGGCTAGACCCCAGGATTCATTCAGGTTTGAACCCGCTCTGTTCAGAAAGGTTGGGTTGAAAAATAAATAAAAAATAAGTTAAAAGTTTGGAGAGTTGTTTTTGCCTTGAGGATGTCAGGGGAATTTTTAAATAATTGCATGAACCGAAAGTGTTTTTCAAATGAAATTTTCATTTTTTCTTTTTATTAACTGAGAAAAGTCCTATTTATTGCATCCCCTTTAACACTCCTTAGAAAAATATTATAACTGATTTCATCTAATAAACACGGCTCAACTCATTTTTCTTATCAGATTTTTTTCCTCCTGTTAAGTTTTCTTAAGTGTGGAACAATATTACTGTCCTCAACTGTAACACGATCTATTTCTCTGGTCCCTTCCAAGCTGTTTATCATTTGCTTCTCTATTTCAGATGGAATTAATCTTCTAAAAACAGATTATGCTCTAAGATGTTTTATGGCTAAAAGCTCCATCAAGACTTTTTCACAACTTGTTAATGGAACAAAATGCAGCCAGGTAACTGTGTTCCAGGTGCTGTAATAAATGCTTACCACTGCATTCGTTGAAGCCATCAGTGTTGTTTTGCAGACATCTAGGAAGCCTTTTTGTCTCATAAATCATTGAAATATTCAGGACCTTTTGCACGAGCCAGAGATATTCTTAGAGTGTTTAGCATCAATAACAATGAAAACCAGCACGACAACATCTTAAGCAATCTAAAATATTGTTGGGGACTTCCAGCCTGCCTTCATTGCAGGGCTACTAAAAATAAGTACATTTCACCACCCCTCCCCCACAACACGCGTGCGCGCACGCACACACCACCATAACCACCACCATAACCACTACCACTACCACTTAGAGAATTTATTACTTTTAGGGCTAAATTCTGCCTTTCTCTTTGACAGAATTACAACTAGATTTAATGCATAATGGAAATTTTAAATTTCAACCTACTTATACCCAATGGATCTAAAACATATAAATTAGGGGAACATATTATGCATTATGAGTGAATTCAATTCAAAATATTATACAATGGAAGATCCTGCTCCGCAACAGTTTCTTATTGGCAAAATAGAGAAGTTCTTATCAAAAGAAATGAACTTGGCCTCAGTGAGACTCATTGCTCTTCTTCCAGTTGCTCAGGCCCAAACTCTTAGAATCATCACTGATTTCTCTCTTTCTTTCACACTCTATATCCACCCATTAGCAAACCCTGGCAGCTCTGACTTAATCTAACCAGAACCCAGCGTCTCACCACTTGATTCTAGAGTCCCCAGGCTGGTTTCACAGGTTCCTCCTTTACCGTTTATAATCCATCCTCTACCAAAAGCCAGGACGATTCTTTAAAAACACAAGTCACATCATGTCACCCCTCTGCTTCCAGCTTTCCTGTGGCTTCCACCTCACTAAGAGTAAAAGCCAATGCCCTTATCATGGCCCAGGAAGCCCTTCATGGCCCAGGCCCCCACTGCCCTCTGACTTCATCTCCTACCCTCCTTTCCCTCATTGATTCTAATCCAGCCACACTGGCTTCCCTTCTGCTCCTCAAACACTCTCTGCTCCCACCTCCCGTTCTTGTCTCAGTTCCTTGCACTTGATGTGCCCTCTGGCTAGAATAATTGTCTGCAAGCTGTCCACATGGTTGCTCTCTCACTTATTTCAGAATTCTGCCCACATAGCACCTGATCAGAGAGGTCTGACCACCATATATGAAAGAATTCAAGTACTGCATCCAATTGATGTGCCTCCTCAGATTCATTCTGCCCCACCTGTCCCCACACGTCAACTGTTTGTCCTGCTTCCCAGATGCCCTAGCAAATGCAATGAAAGCCCTGAGATTCTTGTGATCAAAGCCCTGGTTGTCACCCTCCTTTGCTCATCTCTTACCTCTGCTGACTGACTTGGCTCTCCCTATGGGGAGAGGGTCAGCCTCTGGAGCTCCTGAGTCCAGATCCAACCCAACTGGACCCATGGAGCTTCTGGCTGCTCCAGTAGCTGCCCAGAGAGACCAGATAACACAAACCAGAAGCAAAACATCCTGTTAGGTGAGCTCTGATCAGTGAGAAACAAGAGGTGGAAAGGTCCATAATATGCTAAGATAGATAGATAGATAGATAGATAGATAGATAGATAGATAGATAGATAGATAGATAAAAGAGATGGAAAGGAACAAACATAAACTGCTCTCCCTTCCTCCCTCCAACGGTTTTGAAGCACAAAGGTCCATAATAGCTCTCCAGAAATGTCCTTAGTGACCAAGCAGCCAGCTGTTTCTTCTAAGGCTGTGACCAGTTCAAAACTGCATCCCATTTTATTTGTTTCTCTGATTCCCTGCTTGATGTTCCCTTTTCACTTACTTTTGCTGCCTTGGGATTGCGTTTCCTTAAAGTGCTAAGATATAAGCTGTTTTTCAGGCGCTGCATTCTAGGGACTCTAACTAAGCTGTGTACACGCACAGACAGAAAGACAGACAGACACACACACACATACACACACACACACACACTATACTCCAAACCCTGATCCTACTTTCTCTTCTTTATCATTTACCTTTGCGTCTATTGCCCCCTGTAGAATGTAAACTCCACGACAGCAAGGACTGTTGCTTTTGTTTGCTGCTGTTTCCCAACATCTAGAACATTACCTAGCACCTAGTAGGCATTTAATAAATGTGCTTGGATAATGAATAAATAAGAAGTTTATTTGAAAATATGAAAATAAGCACCATTTTATACCAAAAAAAACCCACAAAAACTGGAGAAGTACAGGTTTTTATGCATGACCTGCCTAAAGTCAACATTCCTACCTGGAATTTTTCCTGTTCTTCTCATTCTCCTTAATTTCATCAAACTTCATTGGTTATCTCTTAATTCAAAGTTTAACTCCTCTCAAAATCCACTTCCCCCAGTTAGACTCACAACTGACATAACTATTTCCTTCCTTCCACCATTTCCTTCCTTCAATCCCCCTAAAGAGAGCACACACATACTTAGAGTAGACTTTATGCATTTCACCCATTTTCTCAGAATTGCATAATATCCTAAAATAGATTCAGCATGTCTTTTAGTCCTTCCTCCACCCCACACCTCCTCACAGATACACACGAGCCTGTTCCCTCCCCACATCTGAACCCTTCCTGCTAATCCTGTCACTAACAATAAAAACTACTAATTGCTGAGCACGTACAATGTGCAAGGCATTGTGGTAGGCATTTAATCCTCACAAAAACCCTGTAAAGTGTGAAAATATCTCAAAATTCATTCATATTAAAGTGTTTGGTGCTTACTATATTCTCCTCAGAGTTATTAGCCTGGATGAAGCTGACTTAGTCAACAGAAATTAATCACTCTGGCACAACTGTATTCATCAAGGAGCTAGAGGTTCCATGGGGAAGGCAAGGCCACTTCCTTCCTCATGCTCCTCAATTTACAGTCCTCCACAAACCATTGATTCATGGCTTTGTAACTGTCCTGGAATTGCTTCATGAGACTATGTTCTGTCTCCTTATGTAATTTAAAGCTCTTTTGAGATAAGACAAGTCTTTAATTTTTTGAGGGTTTCTAGAAAACTATACTGTTTCTTAACTTTAGATTCCAGCCTCCAATCTCTCTCCCCTCTAACTCATCTGTACTTCTACAACCAAATGTATCTTCCCAGAGCAGCGATCTTCGAAGTAGGGGTGGGGTGCACATTTCCAAAAAATGTGCAAGATGATTTCTTGGGAGTGCAGAAAAAATATTATAATTTTATATGTATTTATTGTTATTCTTAAAAAATAAGAACTAGTATAAGCATAACTCAATGTAATGTATGGATTCATACTAGTATATTCATTTGGTCTCTATGTGACAATGTCAAGGGTACATGTAGGGAAGGTATCCAAACACGGAGATGACTGGGATCCCTTCACTTCTCTTGTACATTGAGTGAGCTGCAGTTTGGGATATCAGCAAAAGTGAGGTTACAAACTATAGAACTGAGTTTTAAGTAAACTAACCCGTGCAAAATGGACACCTGGCTTAAGGATTCCTGCAAAGAAACCATGAATGAAAGAAAATATCAATTTTGCAACTCAAGTGAACAAGAAAATGGCAGAGTTAACATTTCTACTCCTAGTACAAACTCTTCATTTACCACATTATAAGAGTAAATCAGTGACAAGAAATTGGCCTTAAAATATTAAAAATTATCCAGAAGACCATTTAAAATATAGGCTTATACATATTTTCATTAACAATGACTTCATCTTATATATATAGTGTCTTGATGTATTGCTTAATGATTATGATATGCATATATAGAATTACAGCATAAAATCATAGTAATGATAATATGAAGCCATCACAATTAAGATATTTTTTAAACAATAAAAATAAATATTATTACCTGAAACATGGAACAAGCCTCTGCAATTTTTTTGAAGATGTTTAAATTGGCCAACAATCAATCCATTACTTTACAAAATTTCCCTAAACATGTAAAGTGTATTTTTAACAGTGAAAAACAAAAGGCTACATATATTATTACAAAATCTTTATTTTTTGCTTTGGTGAATGCTGAAATAATATTAATACGTGCAAAACAATATGGCATGAGCCAAAATGCACACCTTTGTCAGCAAATAACAGGATTTTTTTTAACCAGTTTAAAATTCTTCCAAACAAAAGTCTCAGCATATGGTTTTCAGTCGGTTGTGTTTAAATAATAAAATACATGAAGAATTGCATTTTTTTTCAAACTACCAAAGATAAAGTATGTAGATAAGATGTATTTCCAACAGTAAATAACTTCTTTAATGGTAAAAGCTGTATAAGTAACAGAGCGATTCCTTTGACCAAAATTTTAAAAGAATTTGGCTAAGGTTCCTGAAATAGATCACATGTGACATCCTGCTATATACAGGCAAGCATTTGCAGCTAAGGAATTGGAGCCAGAAGTGCACAAAATACTGCAGGGTATCATCAATTTAGTTAATTTTATTTTTTAAAAAACTTTAAAATATAGTTGACTCTTTAGAATAAATTGAGATGGGAGTAACCATGGACATATTTTCTACAACACAGAGATTTGCTCATGACAAAGTACTCAAAAAAAACTAAAAATATATATTTATAAGAAAGACAAGTGTTCCAAATATGCTAACTTTTTCTGTGATAAGTGGGCTGTCCATAGCATGTTACCTCTGAAATATTTTTTTAATAATAATAATATTAATAAACACAACCTGTCCCTTCAAGGGGAAAGTAATGTTTCAATAGTGAATAAGAAAGAACTGCCTTTCTAAGGAAACTTATGCTACTGACAGAGCATTCTGGAAAGATATGTAGGAAGATTTCCATTGTTATGTGATTTGGATGCCAAAACAAGGTAAATGCATTCATCTTCTATTTTTTTAAAAAATATCTCATATCAGTACATTCTAAAAACTTAGAAATGGGGTTTTTAAACCATTTTAAAACTCTTCCAAACAAAGAATTTCAGTGGAATTTGAACCGATTTTGATAACAATGAAAAAAACTTTAACACTGTCTATTGATTTGCAGGAACTACTGATTGACATCAGAGAAAATGAAATCTACTAGCCAAATTCTAACAAAACCCTTTCCATAATTGCTGAATGGGAATTAGTTAAGACATCAGTAAGGAAATTCTTCTATTTGGATTTATGTGTCTTTGTGAGACATATTTTTCAGTTGCAAAAACTATTACAACAAAGTACTGAAAATCTGAATTAAGAAATACACATTTAAAGGGCTGCATGACAAATTTTTAAAGTTTTTAAAAATAGTGACACATACTCAAATATAATAATTTTAGTGAGAGCAAAAAAACTTTTATTCCATTAATAGTTTAAATAAAAATAAAACAGTGATTGTTTATTTCATCATTAGCTCAATCTTTTAAGGTTGTAATTGGTATAGGTTTTAGAATATACATAATAGATACTGACATGATAGTTTGCCTATAATTTGCAAATAAGTAAATATATATATTGTGATGGTATACACTCAAAATTTGTTAACTAATAGAGATGTGCCAACAAAAAATTTTGGAAAGCCATATGCCCTAAGGCAGTGCTATTCACAGTGTATTCTGTGAACCCACATTATCAGTGTGATATATGAGATTGTTGGAAATGCAAATTCTGGGGCTGCACCCCAAACCTACTTAATCAGAATCTCTGGGAGGTGGGGACAAGAATTTGGATTTTAACAAGATCTTGAAGTGATTCTCTGAAGCATAATACAGATCTAATCAAGACACTCCTATTTTTTAAATTTTTACTTTTTAATTATTAGGGATACATAATAGTTGTACATATTTATGAGGTACATGTGATCTTTTATTTCAAGCATACGATGTGAAATAATCAAATCAGGGTAATTGAGATATTCATCACCTCAAGCATTTATGATTTCTTTGTGTTAGGAACATTCCCATTCCACTCTTTCAGTTATTTTGAAATATACAATAAATTATTGTTAACTATAGTTGCCCTATTGTGCTGCCCAATGCTGTATCTTATTCCTTCTGTCTAAATGTATTTTTGTACCTATTAACCACCCCCTTTATGCTCCCTCCCCGCTACCCTTCCTAGGTTCTGGTAACCATCATTCTACTCTCTGCCTCCATGAGTTCAATTTTTTTAGTCCCCACATATGAGTGAGAACATGTGATATTTGTTTGTGTTTGGCTTATTTCATTTAACATAATGTTCTCCAGCTCCATCCATGTTGCTGCAAATGGCAGAATTTCATCCTTTTGTGGCTATGTAATATTCTACTGTGTATATGTACCACAATTTCTTTATCCATTCATCCATTGACGGACACTGAGGTTGATTTCATATCTTGGCTATTGTGAATAGTGCTGCAATAAACATGGGAGTGCAGATATCTTTTCAATATACTGAATTCCCATTCTTTGAATATATACTCAGCAGTGGAATTGCTAGGTCATATGATAGTTCTATTTTTAGTTTTTTGAGGAACCTCCATACTGTTCTCCATAGTGGCTATAGTAATTTATATTCACACCAAAAAAAAAAAAAAAAAAGATGTTCCTCTTTAAAAGCTGCCTGTTGCTTACTAAATTAAGGCCAACCTTCTCACCATATCATTCAAAGGCTCTCCAAACAACAGCCAAGCCTCCCTTAACGGCCTGTTTCCGTGACCCTCCACCATGATAGATGCTGCAAATATTAAATGTGCCCTTCCCCCCCCTCCTTGTTTATATTCTTTTCTTCACCTGGAATTCCTCCCCTGCCCTATTTTGTCTGCTTATCCAAAATCTTTACAACCTCCATGTTATCTATTCTAAGAAAAATGCATGATCTTAGAAGAAGAAAAAAACCTTTCTACATATTCTTCCTTTATTTTAGATGCCCACAGCATCTTGCTTGTTCATTTCCTGCTGGCAATTAACTAATAAGTACTTATTCAGGTACTTATCTAATTCCTCATATAGACTTCAGGCTCCTTGAGAGAGAGACGTGCTTAATTTTCCTTTATCCCCTAATTTATCACAGGCTTGACAGGCTCTAATAGTTAGCTACAGAGTTGAAATAAAGTCCCACAAATGAACTCAGCCCACACTGTCTGCTTTCTTCATCACTCTATTGAGGACACTACCTCATTGTGGAGAACCTGAATTTCCCATGAACTTCCATGTACTTGGGTCTCTCAGTCACATTCTCTTCCCCTCACATTGCATTTCTGAGTTGGGTCATCTCTCCTGCTTACTTGGTCATGAATGGGGAGATTCAATTATAGGAAGCAAATGATGATTTGAAAAAAAGTTACCATGTTTGAGGGCTTACCAGTGCCAGATACCATACAAAGTATTTCAAGTGATTATCTCATTCGTTCCTGACAAAAGCTCTATTTGGTAAGCATATTACCACTCCCATTTTACCAGATGTGGAAACTGAGGTACAGAAAGGGCTAATAGAGTAGTAGAGTCAGAATTGGAATCTAGGCTGGCTGGCTACAGAGCCTACACAATTAACCTCTACATTACCCTGCTAACAACAGAAGATACACAATTCCAGAGCTATCCTTAGCTTAAACCCAAGTCACTAGCCCTCCTAACCACATGGAAAAACACATGCATTGGAGTCCATCTTGATGTCAGTATAAAAACTATGATTTCACTATGTAAGTTCAATTTAAATCTAGATCAAAGAAATCTAAATTACTTTTCATTTGGACTATAATCTTATATTCCAAAACTTAAATGCTTATAAGAAATCTTTATCTAATTTAAGATAATTAGCTCAAACGTAAGTACAGAGTTAATACTACTTTTCCTCTAAAGTAATAAGTACAAAGGGTTCTATTCTTTCCATAGTCAAATATGTCATGGAACTTGAACTAGTAGGCAATCACTATCTTTTCTTTATAAGAAAAAAAGCCTTTGAAATATGTACCATAACCTCTGAAAAATACAATTATCCTCCTGAAGAAATGAGGTATTTTTTTCTGACAAAAACGGTGGGCAATTGATCTATATAGTTCTTTTCTTCCTCAAAAAAATTATTGTATATTGTGTAATGATCATTATAATTAAAAATTAAGATGGCTTGCAATAATTCCACCATTATTTGATTCAAAATCTTTATAAAATATTGGCATTTTCCAACATTTATTTTTCCTGTCTATGTTCCATTTAAGGCCAAATTTTCAAACCCAGCTGCCAAATTACACATATAATTACTGCATTTGCGCACAAAAATGTGATAATTGCTTACACAATTTCAGAGGCCAGCTTGAGGCTCCTTTCCAAATTTGTTTTACATGTACAGTGCGGTGTATGTAGCTTTATATGAAAATTGGGGAAGTAAAATTCATGGTTTGTCTGGGTGATGTGTGAAAATGGATACAAAATAAAGCCTTTCTATAAATGCCTGGGCCTGTCTTTATATTTTCTCCCAACAGACCTTTATAAAAATGTTATAGAGTGGCTCAAACTTCAGCTGATATTGAAGTAATGGCAGCAAAAGGGGGTGATACCTGGTATCATGCCTTAAATAGTACAGGTGCCCATTTTTGTTAGTGTTTGGCATGTTGTCACGAGGCATTCTTCTGTCTGCTCCTGTCAACCTGGGTAAGAAAAGGTAAAGGTGATAAAAAAAAAAAAAACCATAATCCTATAGTCAGCCAAGATGATAGCAGCTGCAATAGGGCAAAGAGGTTGAGCACTGGTGGCTGGGGATTCACCTCTCCAACTTTGCATGACAGCTGCCTTTACTGTTCGGCAAATAGCCACTGTGGGTATAGCTCATGATGGGTATTCCTAATGGAAGCTTTGGTTCAAGAAAAGGCAAAGAAACAAGATCGAGCTGGTCATATACACTGGTGTGATGATCTAAGATATTTTTGCTTCTGCACCAGTTGGGGAGAAAACTGTGGCCAGTTCCACATAAACCTAGGCTCAAATAATATCTACTTCCCAAACTTGGGGACTATGAATCTGGTCTCTGATTATGGCCAAGTGTCCAAATATGGGACTGACTGAAAGCAATTAGGCCAGAAGCCTATTGAATATTGAAGGAAGTTGAAAGTTCAAAGAAGCCCTAGAAATATCATCTTCCCCAATGCCTACCTGAAATAATCATAACTGACATCATGATATATGTTAAGCAATGTTCTAAGGATTTTGTATGCATTCATTCACTTTTTTACCTGCTTATTACTTTTACAACGTAAGCACTATTATCTTCATTTTATATTTGAGCACACTGAAGTACAAAGAGATTAAGAAATTTGCCAAATGTGACATAATTAAAAAGTAGCAAAGCCAGCCTTAGAACCCTAGGCATTCTGACTCCAAAGCCTTTCCTTTTAACCCCAATAACATAATGCCTCTCATAGGGAGCCAAGGAAAATAGTGGACAAGGGAAGACCTCGGGCAGCCAGCATGAACCTCCAAAGAATTCACCACTTGAAATTAGCCTTCACTACTTCTGTCTGGCAGGAATGATATTGTCATGGGCTAATGACCATTGTGTGTTGCTTCCCTTTCTTCTCTTTACCAAATGGGAAATGTTTTTATTCAAGTTATCTATCCTATTCCTTCTTTGTCAGTTTATATGAGTTGTGTTATAGATGGATAACATATTATTAGCAAAATTCCCTAGACTAGGAGGAGTTTCACCAGATATGATGAAGGGGACCCCACATCACCCAGAGATTCAATACTTGGAGCTAGCACACTGAATCACTGGGTTGTCTCTAGGGGGAAAACATAGCTGTTTCTGAGAATATGGATGGAAAGAAGGGTTTGCATGGTTGCTGGGCTGGTAATTTATCCAGTATCCACTTTCCCCTTTCTAAAAATATCTACTGTCCCGGCCCGCGGGACCTTCTGTTACCCATGGGGTCAAGGGGGACCATGCCTGAAAGAGATGGGCGAGAGAAAGGAACGAGACCAAGCAAAGGGTTGTCAAGGTCTACTTTACTTAGATTCTTAGTAGGTTTTATAAGCATACAGAAACAAGGAAGTAGAAACAAAAAATGCAGTGGGGTGACAGTGAGTCTTGGGTTTGGGCTAATCAGCCCCAATCAGTATCTTATCTGTATCGAGGTTGTTTTTGACTGATTATCCAACCTCAACCTGGCAGGTGGTCGGGAACAATTGCAGTTAGCACACCCTGGAGCATTTCTCAGTCAGCAAGTCATGGAATGCATTCTTCTCGGAGCTATAGCTGGAATTTTCCAGGGCGAAGCCCGTGCGTAGGACAAGTCATAGGGGAGTTGAGGGTCTTTGAGGGTCCTTGCCTCTAACAATCTACCTCTTTCGTGTATGGTTCATGGATTTGATGGGCTATGAACCTCACCCCCAGTCCAAGAAGTGAGTCCTTATTTAGTATGTCAATCAGAATAACCCATTCCACCCTCACATCAGCCTTAACATGCAATTGATTTAGGAATGGTTAGTAATCCAACCCTACACCAATCACTACATAGCACTGCTCACCCTGATTGCTTCAGTTTAGTCCAAACAATGCAAAGAACAAGGATTTTGTTCACTGGTAGGAGGAAGAGACACTTTCTTCTATTTGGACATGAAAGCATAAACATATCACCTCAATGACTGCAGGCAGCCTCCATACGATCACAAGGAAAGTCAGTCATGGAACAAAGCTGTAACTGGATAGCAGAGTGAAAGAGAGAAGAAAAAAATACTAAAATTAAGTCCCTGGTTACATCACTAAACTAGATCAACCAATACCAAAACTCATCCAACCTCTGAACTTCTGACTACATGTGCCAATAAGTTGTTTCTGCTTTAAGCCAGTCTGAGTTTTGTTTTTTGTTAATTAATGTATCTTCTAAGGTTACTTGTATCTTGGAAAATAATGGCCTGGGAAAGATTTGATTTCTATGAAGCCTTTAAGAAGTTTAAGCTGATCCAGGAATACCCATTCCCATTCCAGCCACGGGCACTCCTTGTACTGTCAAGTCCAACACTGACTCGGGAGGTCGTGAGGAAGTGTGGACTAGTGAGAGGTGCACGGGGCTTGGCTGAGCTCAATTCCCAGGTCTCTCTCTTACTGATTGGGCAAGGTGACCACATAATTTATTGTCCAAATCGATATATTTATCAGTAAGATGAAATGTTATAATGTCCCTAATAGTCATAAACTAAAACAGTGCCAGGAAAATAGGCATGGATCTATATCGTTGAGTTGCTTTGGACAAGTCTTTGAGCGTCAGTTCACACATCTATAGAATGAGACTACCAGTGTTTGTCTCACATGGCTGTTAGAGAACTCAAGGAGATGATGCACAGTAACACAGCTGCTCAAGATTGGGAGCGTTGGCTTTATAAAGGAAGACCATCTCACATTATTCTAAATGCTTCTGTACTGAAAATTCTTAATAATTGTGCATATATTTATTGTTTGTTTTTGAGTGATTTAGAGATTTTCTTTTGAAAATAAATATTAGGCCAGGTGCAGTGGCTCATGCCTATAATTCTAGCACTCTGGGAGGCCAAGATGGGAGGATCGCTTGAAGTCAGGAGTTTGAGACCAGCCTGAGCAAGAGCGAGACCATGTCTCTCCTAAAAATAGAAAACAATTATCCAGGCAACTAAAAACAGGGAAAATTAGCCAGACGTGGTGGTGGCGCACACCTAGGGTCCCAACTACTCAGGAGGCTGAGGCAGGAGGATCACTTGAGCCTAGGAGTTTGAGGTTGCTGTGAGCTAGGCTGATGCCACAGCACTCTAGCTCAGATGACAGAGCGAGATTCTGTCTCAAAAAATTTTTTTTAATAAAAAATTTAAAAATTAAATATTAATTAAATGAAATAAATACAAATGAGAATATATGGGAAAACTCACCAACTTGAATAATCTACAAAAACCAAAGCCAATCTTGCAAATGAGTATGATAGGTCACTACCCATTAGATAAGTCTTAGGGGTTCAGGAAAAGTGTCTTTCCTCCCAATAAACTGTTTTCTTAGTGATGCCTACAATTCTCCAACTATTGAAAATGGTTGTTCCTTACATTCCTGTAACACTTCACTGGTTGGAGTTTGCTATAGAATGAATTTGCAGTATCATTGGTCATCCTCATGGCCGTGACATTTGAGCTAGGGACAAATTCCTAAAGAAGAGACAACACCCAAGTTACATTATCTTGAGTTCTTTCACCCCCTTCCCAATATGCCTGACCCTGAACACTGTAGCCCTATGTTCCTCTCAAAGGATTTCATAATTCTTGTTACCAATCCAAACTTTTCCTTGCCAGCACATAATTGGATCTTATAAAGCCAAAAGAATTATTTCTTAGTCTTCCCATTGATCCTTTACATTATAAATCTGAAATCACATCAGTGCTATCAAGCCACTTCTCTGACACAGGAATATGGAACTTGTATCAGCCAGGGTCTACTCAGAAGACAAAAATGACACCAGTTATCTAAACAGAGAAAGTGTAGTATAAAGATGTGTTAACTGAGAAAATAAAAAGATAAAAGGAGAATTCAAAGCTATCATGAAGAAGATAGCAACTTCAAGAAGCAGCTACCGCCCCTAGGGCTGGAGGAATAAAGAGAAGAGTTTAGAATTATTAAAACTTGCTTAGAAATGTGGCTCCATGGAGTTGAAACTCAGACCTCTGAGCAGGGGACACTGCTCAGCTGGTGCTAGTGTCCCTGAGTTCTACAGACAGCCCCAGGGGCTGGAACCAGACTTCTGAGCAGGAGGCTCCAGCTAAACTGATGCTGGTATCGCTGAAGAGGGAGCAATGAAGCTTCCGCAAGTGCTGGAGAAACTGCAAAGTGGATTCAGTTGCTGCTATAGGAAGGAACTTGTCTTGCCAGGATTAAGAAGCATTGCTGGGGTGACATTCACATGGAAAGTCAGCAAAGCTAGAACAGCAAGAAGCAAGTCCCTTTTCCTCCTCCAACCTTGTAGTCGCCCTGTGGTGCCCCCTATTGGCAGAGCCTAATTGGGATCTGCTTGTCAAGCAGAAATGTGGTTTGCAGAGTCCCAACATTACAAAGCAGGCAACAGATTTGGAGCTGAGAGAGAATAACTTAATAACTAGCACAGAGCGGTGCAATTTTACTGTATGGAGGAGGAACCCATAGTCTGACTCTCAGAGAGGATAAAAATAACCCAGTTCCTAGAAGATAGCTCCCATGCTTCCTACACCACCACCAATAAAAGTATTTTGAACACTGTGAAGTATCATTTAAGGAAAGGTGCTGTGATTATTACTTCTTCTGGAAGACAGATTTGAGTAGGCAGTCCCTGACAGCTTGGATATTAAGAGCTGACCTATTGACATTTTAGCCACCACATTTGTATCTGAACTCTTACCTGCCACAAACATCATAGTATTTCTGATCTTCCATGTGAGGATGCTTTTTCCTCAGGAAACACCTCAGGCATTGTGATTTTTCTTTGCAGATATTTATGGAGCCATCATTTGAATACTTCTATTTTCTCAGTGTGCTGAAGGAGAAAGTGTTGATTATGAAATATTCTGAAAATCACCCAGTGTGTATAAAGCTAATAAAAAAGCATATTGTGGTCACGGTAGAATTTTCAAAGGGGTAATGATCATGGCTTCACTGTGCCTACATGTTTGGTACTTTTTACTTTTGTATAAAATGTCTACTCATTATATTGTTCGCATCTTTGTTGACTGAGTTTGGACAGATTTAACAAAACAAGAAAATCTATATTCTTATGCCAATTTTTGATAACCCTAATAAACATAAAGGTCTTTCTGATGTTTTTCCTGGGTCAGTTAAAGGCAGTGATCAACGACAAACAGTGTTTAGAAACTTCGTTTAACTGCCAGATTGGAAGGTCAGCCTTGGACCAGTGCCAGGAGACTAAGTATTCCTAAATGAGACCTAAAGGATACACATAATGTCACAGTTTGTTCTGTAAACCTTCTTCAGAAGAAATGGGGATGGGGCAAAGCAGAGAGGAAAAGTGGCAATCAATCATTTTAGGCTTTCAAAGGCCTGGAAGTAACATAGTTAGACAAAAAGAAAAAGAAACAGACAAGATTATTTGCAGATCTAAGGGTCAATCCACACCTCTCCCCAAAAAAGAGGGATAACGTAATATGATAAATGCAACTCAGTCACTCAGTAAAGTTATAGCATGTCCATTCCATTTCCAACACATGGGTAGTTCACAGGATGGACACAGGCAATAAATACCCAAGAATCTAACATGCTTACATCACAGCTGGCCCAAACGGCCCACGTTTGGTATCACTAAAGATAGCATAATGACTAAAAGTGTGGGCCCTGGGACAAATTTGCCTAAATGCAAAACTGGGTATTTCTTGTTAATAAACTGTATAATAATGGGAGAGTTACTCAACCGCCTGTGCCTCAGTTTCTCATTTATAAAATGACGATGATAATATACCTACCTAAAATCAAGTGGGGAAAATAAAGTATTACAAAAATATAGTGGCTTAAAGGTTGTATAAGCTTATTTCTCTTGCCTAGCAGCCCCCAGCGGGTCCAGTGAGTGAAGCAGATCTGCTCTACTTATTCAAAGGAAGCTGGGGAAGGCAGTGGCTAGCTGGAAGGCCCTGTGCCCAGCTTTACTGTTTTGAAAAAAAAGGGGGAAATAGATCTTAATCAGTAAGAAGAGTCTGTCATCTTAACTCATCATTTTGCTACAAAGGAAATGAAATAATGCACTCAGAAGAACATCTGACATTTAGTGAGTGTTCAATAATGGCTAACTATTGGTATTGCCAGGTTATAGGCCCCTCATAAATATTCTATTTCTCCCTCTTTCAGACACAGTTCCTTTTTTTGCTGTTAGCCATTGGACTTTCTTTGGCTGATGAAACGAGCATGGCAGTGATGAGTGTCGTTTCTGGCAGAAGAATTAAGAGCCAGTGTGCTACCCTGTTTTCTACCCTACCATAGTAATTATGGAAGGACTTGCCAGCCTGGATCCCTCAGTAAGTACAATGAGAGGAGCCACCCAAAAACTCACAGGTGTGTAAATGAGCAAGAAATAAATGTCTGTTGTGCTAAGCCACTGAGATTTGGGGATTGTTACTGCAACATTCAACTAGGTCTGGAACCAGCGGCCTCAAGGCCACATGTGGACCTCCAGATCCCCAAGTGCAGCCCCTCGACCTAATCCAAACTTCACAGAACAAACCATTTTAATAAAGGATTATTATTATTTAACAAAAGATTATTATTTAGATTCAGTCAAAAGGCCACACTCAAGGATCCAAAAGGCCACATGTGGCCCCAAGGCTACGGGTCCCCACCCATGTCTGAATATCACCAAAAGTAAACTTGAAAATTGGCTGGTAACCTTGTGCATTGCTTACCTACTAAGGGCTCATAGTTGATTATACTGAGACACCATAGGTATTAATGACTGTGTGTGCAAGACAAAGCAGTCTACCCAGGCTTGATACTATACTGTAGAAACATGTTTGCTAAAGCCTTCCTTCCAAGTCTGCATCTGAAAGCAAGCTGAAATTTAGAATCTTCTAATTCTTCTCGCCTTAGAGGTAGTCGCCATCTGGCCACAGCTGTGGAAATGCCAATATAAAAGGAAGAGTCCTGAATGGAAATGTAGGCCCTGTGAAATTTTTTGCATTTTCTCAAATTTGAATTTTAGTATTTCTTTCAGATTAATCCAGTATTGGCAATTGAGAGTGTTTCATGCAGTTATTAAATGTTGTATTCACCTGTAAGAATCTAGACAGCAGAGAGTGTGGGCAGCTTGTTAGGGTTATAGACATAAAACAGTTGTAGCTGTTACTTATGATCATTTACCATGTTAATTGGCAATGTATTAAGTGCTTTACCCACATAATCTCATTTAATCCTCACATCGGCCTTTTTAAGGTGGATACTAATAGTATTCCCATTTTACAATTGAGGAAACATGAGCTTAGAAAAGTTACATAGACATTTATTCCTTGCTCATGTTACATGCTCATATGTTATGTAAAATGACTAAAGTCAGCAGTCCATGAAAGACGTAATTGGAATGTGAACTCAGGCATATGAGTCGAAAATGCATTTGTTGAGCCATAAGCTGTACCTCCAATCTAACATAACAAGTGTCAGAACTGAGCCATGTACAAAGATCTGTGGGAGCAAAGAATATAGATTAATCATGGAAGAATTCATTGAGAGTCGGGTTCTTAGTTGATAGGAATTGGCCACATTATAAAAGGGGGGAGGACATTCTAGCAAAATAAAAAGTTATACTTCTCCTGAAGTATTAATACTATATTCACTGTGACTCATAACTAAACATATTTCCACCTTTACATTGGCTGCCAGGGAACTCACAGCCACATTTATAAAACTTCTTCAGCAACTATATAAACCCTAATTATGTAAACATCGTGTAGTAACCAAACCTTTTTTTTTTTTTTTTTTTTTTTTGAGACAGAGTCTCGCTTTGTTGCCCAGGCTAGAGTGAGTGCCATGGCGTCAGCCTAGCTCACAGCAACCTCAAACTCCTGGCTCAAGCAATCCTCCTGCCTCAGCCTCCCAAGTAGCTGGGACTACAGGCATTCGCCACCATGCCCGGCTAATTTTTTGTATATATATTAGTTGGCCAATTAATTTCTTTCTATTTATAGTAGAGACGGGGTCTTGCTCTTGCTGAGGCTGGTTTCGAACTCCTGACCTCAAGCAATCTGCCCGCCTCGGCCTCCCAGAGAGCTAGGATTACAGGCGTGAGCCACCGCGCCCGGCCCTTTCTGTTTTTTTTTAGTAGAGACAAGGTCTTGCTCTTGCTCAGGCTGGTTTCGAACTCCTGACCCCGAGCAATCCGCCCACTTCGGCCTCCCAGAGTGCTAGGATTACAGGCATGAGCCACTGTGCCCGGCTGTAACCAAACCTTTATCAGAATTCCACCCCCATTTTTTCTCTATCCAATTTCCCAAACTCTTTATGTTTTAATCCTGTATCATTACAAATGTCTTTTTAGGTATCCTTACATTCATTTTATAACAAGAAAGCAAAACATAAATAAATAAATTTGTTTTCCCCATGAGAAGGCCATGAATTCTCAAATATAAAGGACCTATTTAAAACTTGGATAACACCTCTCTTAGGCTGAGAAGAAATAAGCAATCTCATATAGTGCTGGTAGGAATATATGTTAAGAAACATACAGAAGTCAATTTGGTAATACTTATGAAAATTAAAAATTTGACTGGACACAGTGGCTCACACCTATAATCCTAGCTTTTGGGGAGGTGAGAGAATTGCTTGAGGCCAGGAGTTCAAGACAAGCCTGGGCAACATAGCAGAGATCCCATTTCTACAAAAAATAAGAAAAATTAGCCAGGTGTGCTGGTGCATGCACCTGTAGTCTCAGTTACTCAGGAGGCTGAGGCAGGAGGATTGCTTGAGCCCAGGAGTCTGAGGCTACAGTGAGCTATGATTGCACCACTGCCTCCAGCCTGAACAACAGAGCAAGACTCTGTCTTTAAAAAAAAAAAAAATTCATGGAACCACTGATCCAGCATTTTCTCATCTTGGTATTTATCCTATAGATATACTGGTACCCAGACAAAATGACTATGTACAATGTTACTCCCTTCAACCTCATTTCTAATAACAAGAGATTAGAAAACAAAATTTATGTCCATCAATAAAGGAGTGATTAGAAAAATTATTTTTCTTAGTTCTCAAACTTTTTTTAGCTCTTCGAAATGATCATAGTCTATGGACACTGGGTCTATGATGTCCGATGATTAAATTAGCTCCAACTGAGCCAATAAGTATCAATCTTTATTAAATATTCACAGCACCTACTCTGTGCCAAGTATTCTACTTACTAGGCATTTTTTAGGTCAGAGATCCAATATGCATACATTTATAGATCTCAAGGACTCCTGACTGGTAAGAGATGAGGCAGAAAATCCATGCCCAGGGTACCTCTGTTAGGCTTAAGCTTCAGATGTAAGTCAAGCAAAGGCAGAGAATTAATTCAAACCTTTATTCTTTTCATGAGTTTGATGATGTAATGTGAGTGGGATTCAATCTAAACAGTTCAAAATTATGTAGTTAATTACATTTGGCTTCGATTTCAATCACTAAGTCATCCAATGACATTATCATAACATTTCAAAGACATGACAATAGTGATGGTTGGAAGATAAGACCCTAACACTCTACCAGCTCATGGCCCCTATTATAAATCCAACTGGTATTGGACAAGAGGTGATTAAATGGAATGTCCCAGTCTACCACCCCTTGGGGAATATTTGATGATTTTACAGAAGTGTCATTATGCTTTCCAAATGGAAAGGATTTGTGTTTAGTTTATACTCCAATCAGGAAAGATCTGTTCCTGCACTAAGAATGCTATTACTGCAGAAAGAATACAACTACCAGAGAGCACAGTTTGTAGAGATAGTACCTGAATATCTCTATAAGTACATAGGTGGGATTTGATAGTATTTTGGTGGTATTACCATCTGGCACCCAGGAATTCATTCAGTCAGTAAACATTAATTGAGTTCCTACTATGTGCCAGGTACTGTATTTGGTACTAGAGAATACAACCTGGAATTGAAATCAGAACCCACAGTATATCTTTATCATTCATTGAGTAAAACATGACGAGAAAGTCGTCATCGATAGCTCTCATTACAAAATTCTCAACAAATCCTTTTGTCGTCTTCAAAGTTAAGAAACTTTCCAATATTTGTTATTCATTGTTGTATGTTCCTGGAAGCCCCTCCCTGAGCTAAGATTTTGGTGGTCAGAGGGGGCAAAACCAGGGGTGATGAATACCTATCATACTCACAGACATCTTTCACCTTTTACTAGCCTTTGTATCACTCCCCATGTCATAAGTGTGGCTCTCCAATGGAGTCAGAATTCAAATTCCAAGGCTCCTTGCAGCTAAGACACAGGCACATGACCCAGGCTTCCCCAAGAGTCCACGCAGCAGACAACCTAGATTTCAACTCAGAAGTACACACGAGGAAAGAGGCTCTGCAGGAAGTTGTGATTTTTGCTTGTACAGTGGTGGTGGAAGCACCTGGTTTTCAGTGGGGGCAGCAGCAGCAGTTTCGAAGTGCTTACAGTGTCTGGCCCAAAAGCGGCCTCCATGGAGTGACAGCAGTGATGAAGATGTAGGTTCTTCTTTTGCTAAATGAGGTAGCAGTGGTGGAAGCAGTTTCCTTATCAGGCCTATCCTGCAGCACAGTTTTTGTCATTGTTCAATGCTGGCCCAGCCTCGATCCTGGCTCTCCAGCTATCCCAACAATTCTTGAGCAATCAAATCACCTTTTAATGAGTCGGCCTCTGATCGCTTGCAGCTAAGAATCCTAAATGGAATACCAGTTAAACAACCCCTTTACCATACTTTGCACTCAAAATATACCATCCTCCATTCCCAAATGATGTTGGACACAGCCAATGAAACGTAGGTGAAAGTGACAGTATGTGGTTTTCAAATCTAAACCTTAAGAATCATCATATGTTTCTACTTGCCCTCTTGCATTTCTGCCATTGCTTGGAGAAGTGCTTTCCCCATTGCTTGGAGAAGTGCTGCTGCTCCTTCATCCTGGACCCCAGAATAAATATGCATTGAACAGAGCCACTTCAGCCGTCTGTAGACCTGCAGCATGAGGTACAGCCACCCCAAATGACCCGCAGCCCCATGAGTGAGAATAACTGATTATTATTTTAAGCCACCAATTTCTGGTATAATTTGTTAGACTGCAAAAGCTAACTGACATACCTGGTTTTATTAGATGACCACCTCTACACCAATAATCTGTGACCAGGGATGTGATCATGAAAAAAAAGAGACAGAGAGAGATGGGGGGAAAGATCATATCTTCTGAACAAACCTGTGTTTAAAAAAGAAGAAGGAAATGGTTCTCAGAAGTCGCTTGTATCAGGGGAGTCGGGATGGTGCTGGGCACACGAATCAATAGGGCTGCACCAGAATCTAGAATTCCCTAACCTCCGTTTGTGGCTTTATCCTTTTATTCAACACACACTCCATCCAATGAATGCTTTACTTTTTCTCACCTAAAATTCTTCTGCTACAATTTAACAAAATGCTTTCCTGGAGTTGGTGAGATTCAAAGAAGACTTTGATCAAGAAGAAGCCTGAGCATGGTTTCCAGCAAAGAGGTCGTTAGGTCAAGTGGGGAAATGGAACAAAGAGGTGAGATGTAGGCTGGAAAGGACAGAAAGCCAGGAGACTGAGGTAAGAGGAGGAATTGCATAAAAACACCTGGCCCGAGGTGGCACACATGTGGCTGGTCTACTCTTTTCCACCTTTGCTGCATGCATCCTGTGGTGTACACAGGAGCTTTTTTGAATGTTGGAGAAGAATGTTGGAGAATGTTGGAGAAGCCATTGAAAACTATGTTAAGAGAAAGCAAGAGGATGGGGAGTGCAAAATGGCAGCCTCCACCGGTATGTTCCGTTTTTTTTATAAACCACTTGTATCTCGTTCCTTCCTTCTCCTTCTGCACATCACCACCGACACAACCGAATGGAAATGACAAGATGAATATTTGGAGCTTACATATGTACTATCCCTCAGTTATTATAATAGCTTGTTCTTTAAACCAGAACTTTTCTGTAACATATTACTAATCATTTGGGGGTTTGAGTCCTCTATTTGAAGTGCGCCACATGTCCTGTCAAAATAACTTCTTATAGCTGTGTAACGATTGTGGGTGGCCTGTGATCACCTTGTCAGAGTGTCTTTTACACCCAGAGCTAGTTGCCAGATTCCACATTACTTACTTCCCAGCCCTCCCTCCCCACAACTTATGCTCCATATATCATCTCCTTTCTTGTTTTTGTTTTTTTATTTGCTGGCAGTTGCTGGGCCAAACAGCAATTTGCAGTTATTTATGCAGCTTAAACCCTATTGTCAGCATCCTTATCCTCCATACACAAACATTCCAGTGGTGTGAGTTGAGCTTTGGGGCAGGGAGATGGGCTGAGGTTAACAGAAGCAAGGCTTCCTGGGGTCCTCAGGCAAAGCATCCATTGTTGCTGAGCTGCTTTTTCTCCTTCTTGCCTCCATTTGGGGTGGATTTTCATTTGGAATTAAAAACAGATCACAGTTTGCTGTTTGTTTGCTATTGTCAGGTCAGAACCAGGACTCAGGGAGAAGGGTGGTATCATTGTGTGTAGAATTTTCTTGGTAGTTTAGTAGGGATGATGAAATTTGTCTGCAGTGGTATAGCTCCTTCCCTCCTGGGCTGTCCAAGGCCTCCCAAAACAGAACTTAATCCTCTCAGCAGCTGGAGAGGAAGTGAAATGTGGCATGGGACATTGTCCCTCTGGCTCCCCCATGCCCATTTTGGAGGGTATAGTTCAGGGAGTGCAGGGAAATGCAAATGGCAGGAGGGAGGTGAAGGCTGGCACTTCCTTAGCAAGCTAGTACCTCCCTACATGGGATGTGCTACTTCCAAAAAAAGATATCCCCTCTGGGTAGATAAATTTCAAAAGGCCAGCCCTTCCTGTGGACTGATACAGTCTGTGCCAGGGTACACAGCTTGGTGAGTGTTATATGGACTGGATTTAAGCACCTACTCATCCCAGCAGCCAGGCACTTTTATTGATAGCACAACTCTCCATGCTGGCCCTGCATTTTCATGCAAACTAGAGAGATGCAAACTAGATTTTTGCACTAGGTGATGCAAACTAGGTGATGCAAACTAGATTTTTGCACTCCAGGTCAGAATTTTGTCAGAGACTGGCTATTTCTCCCATTACGCTGCTGAACAATTGAAGGTACCATCAATGCCTTAACATCTAAGTCTAAAAATCACAGTTTAGAGACCTCTAACAGTCTTTGCAAACATCATCTTGTTTATTCAACAACTATTTATTAATCACTTGTGTACAAAGCACTAGCCCCCTCTAGGAGGTTAAAGCCCTTTGGGAAGACAATAAAAATTGTAGTAAACATCTGTAGTTGTGGTAGGCAGCTTCTGATGTGGTACTCAAGGAGTCTCACCTCCTGGTGTTGATGCTATTGTATAATATACAATTATTGTTGATGCTATTGTATAATCCTTTGAGTGGGGACTGTCTCTAGTGACTACTGAATCCTAACACATTCTAATGTATAGCATACAGCAAAAGTGGTGGTGAGATACCACTTCCCTGATAAGGTTCCCAAAACCTGTGACTTCCATCTTGCTGGTACTCTCTCCCTTGCCAGGATTCTCTCCGGTCTTCTCCCTTGCTCATTCTGATTCCACAATCTCCCATAGTGTGAGAGACTCTATGGAGAAGCCCAGTGGCTTGTGAGGGACTGAGACCTCAGTCCAGCAACCCACAAGGAATTAAATTCTGCCAACAACCACTGGAGTAAGTTAGGAAGATGGTCCTTCCCAGTCAAGCCTTGACATGACTGCTGCCTCCTGAGAGACCCTGAGCCAGAAGACCCAGCCAAGCCACACCCAGATCCCTCACCCACAGAAACTTGTGAAATAATAAATGTATATTACATCACTGCATTTGGGGGTAATTTGTTATGCAGTGCAAGGCTATCATCACAAGGTTGTAGCCAAGGTGTCAGCCAGGACTGCAGTCATCTCATGGCCTTACTTCCCTGAGTGAGGAAGGCTCCACTTCCAAGTTCACCCACAGGGTTGTTAGCAGAATCAGTTCTCCAAAGGCTGCTGAACTGAGGGCTGTTCCTTGCTGGCTGTTGGCCAGGGGCAACCCTGAGTCCTTTACCATGTGAGCCTCTCTCCAGGACAACTCACCTCACAGCATCTGTCTTCCACTGCAGTGAGCAAGCGAGAAAGCAAAAGAGGACAAGTAAGACAGAAGCCAAGGTCTTTTTGTAACCTAATCTCATAAGTAACATCCCATCACTTTTGCCATCTTCTATCAGTTAGAAGCAAGTAACTAGGTCCAGCTCATACTCCAAGGGTGGGGACTACACAAAGGCATGAATACCAGGAGGTAGAGATTGTTGGAGGCCTCCTTGGAAGCTGCCTACCAGACCTTCCCTACAACTCCTTCACCCACCTCTGTCCCAGGCCTTTGCCAGGCCTTGGAGAGCCCCTCTGCCCCAGCTCCTCTCTATTCACCATGTTCAATGTTTATCTGTACACAGCCTTTGCAACTCATGCCTGAACTCTGGCAAAGCCTTCCAATGAGCCCGCCTACCTCTTTCTTTCTACTCACCCAGCTGGTACCCAGAAAGCTGGTCAATATTTCTAATTACATTGTATTGTATCATTTTCCTATTCAAAAATGCCCACTGGCTCCCAAATTCTTTTTCTATCATTCAAGCCTTTTCTCAGTCTAACCCAATGCACCTTTATCCTCCCACTGTTATAAGGATAAAAATAATTGTCCTCCCACTCCCCTCCAGCCAAACAGGTATACTCATTGGCCCTAAACTGTAGCTATTAATAATTGATACCCCTCTCCAAGGCTTTGCTTCTTCTGTTCCTACATGGAATATTATACCATTTCTCTCCATCTATCAGAATTCTTCTCAAATTTTATGGCCTAAAGTAAGTCCTGTCTCCTTCCTAAAGCTTTAAAGCTTATGGTAATGTATCCTCTACATAGCTGGTCAAGGAATCTATGTGATAGTCTGGTTTGATCACTCTGGGCCCCAAATGGCCTCTTCCTTCTCTCAATTCTTGAACCACCCACCACTTATTCACTGAATCTCTGATGTGACACTTTTCATAGACCTATGTTAGTTTGCAATCCCAATAAAAAACAATAGATTATCAGTATATGCATATCAAGAGAAGATATGAAACAAGTTAAGAATGGAGGTCCAAGCTGAGATGTCTAGTTTGAGGAGAATAGAATCAACCATCAATCTTGACACTAGTCACAGTATGTTCTAGAGCCATCTTATTAGCCTTTCCAAGATTCCATTTTTTATTGTCCTGCCTTCAGTGATTCATTATTATTGGCCCAACAAAAGTATTGCAATTTACATTTACAAGAATGGAATTCCTAGGGTTCTCAGACACTATTTCTTAAGATAATGTAAAATGTAGTGAAAAGAGTACTTCTCTTAAAGATTAAGAAAAAGGAGGAGGAGTGAAGATTCTAATACTATCATGATCTTTGAGATACAAGAGAAAGATATAAGAAAGGCCATGAATATAGGTACGTTCACATAGATATGTTCAAGGTATAATCTAAGAATGAAATACAAGTTCAAGGAAAAGGGAAATGTTTTTAATAAATCGAATTGGTAAGTAATTAGAGAAATATAAGAAGGCTAAAGTTTCATTCACATACTAACAGGGAACAAAACCAAACAATTCCTGGTCTACTAATAAGCACTTTAGATTGTGTTATCCTATCTAATTATCACAACAACTCATCTTACAGCAGAGAAGATGAAGGCCCAGAAAGGTTAAGTAATTTTCCAAAAGTCACACAACTAGTAATTGGTGAGACCAAGATTCCAACCATGCTCTAGCTGATTCCAAATCCCACACAACCCCATCTTTAGGGCATTCGAGCTGGGAGACGTGGCCGTACCCATCACACTATTTTGCATGGTTATCATTGGATGGAAGACAGCCTCTACCATTCTCCCTGAAATGATCCAATGGCCTTTTAGCTGCTGTGCCAATCCAATCTGTGTTTGTAGGAAAGAAAATCATCATTTTCTACATCTTCAATTGAGATGAGGTGAAGATTAGCCAAACCACCAACAAAATTAATTGTAAAGAGAGGTATGGTTGATAGAATTTGATAGAATCATTTTATCCCACACTAGGGTTTCTGACATCACATCCTTAACAGTCTTAGAAAAAGTCTTCAAATGTATTCCTTTTTAAGACATAGGTTCCCTTCTGACCTATAAAGAGCTTCTCTGGAGAAATATCAGTATACTATATCACAAAAATATGTTTCCCAGAAATGCAAGGGGATATAAAGGACAGCTTCAGCTCAAAACTTGCAAACCTTGTCCCCAAAAATGTTTCAAGGTAACTGCTTCATTGGTGCTCTTTCCTGAGCACTCAGGA